GAGGGTTCCCCTTTCTCTGCATCCTCGCCAATATCTGTTGTATTTCTAGAATTTTCGTTTGGTTCTTTTTTGTAGTTTGGGGGGTTTTTTGAGATTACTTTATCTGCTTATTCATTATCTGTATCTTTTCCTTTAAGTCTTTAAATATATATATTCAATTCAATTCTGCGTGTGTGTGTGTGTGTGAGACCATGGATCACATTTTTCCTGCTTTTCTTCATGCTTCATAATTTTTTCCTAATCATATGCAGGACATTGTGAAAGATAGGTCGTAGGGGTCTGTATTACGTTCTTTTCAAAAATTGTGCTGAATTTTGTTCTGGTAGGCAGTTAAATTGCTGGCAGATCATTTTGCTTCTTTCAGCTTTGGTTTTATTTTTTTATTTTATTTATTTATTTGAGAGAGAGAACACAAACAGGGGGAGCAGCAGAGGGAGAGGGAGAAGCAGCCCCCCTCCCCAAGTGGGGAGCCTGACATGGAGGTCGATCCCAGGGCCCTGAGATCATGACCTGAGCCGAAGGCAGATGCTTAACCAACTGAGCCACCCAGGCACTCTGGTTTTATTTATTTTTTTAATAAGGGCAGATCTGTTTTCATTTTGTGTTAGTCATTTAGTCCTAGGTCATTGTCCTTGCACTTGGATGTGGTACTTATACCAAAAACTCAGCCTTTCTGGAGTCATGATTGAATGCCTGAGATACTCAATGAAGTCTTTCCATTCTGGATACTTTCGAATTACAATATACTCTAGAATGGCATATCTGATACCTCAGCCCCACAGTTAATACTCTCTTATCTTACTGAATCTTATCCTGTGCTTCTGTAGCCAAACCCTCAGCCAGGGACTGGGGAACCATGGTGTAGACTGTTGAGGCCCTTCATCTGTGTAGCTTTCTTCTCTCTGGTGTCTTGCCTCATACATTTCAGCAGCCACAAGCAACAGTCTTGCCGCCTCAGCTCAATAAGACTGCCCTACTACTATTCTTAAGTGCCACCTTCTTAAAATGTAGTCAGACAGTATTGCCAGGAAGAAAACCAAGGTTAGACATGGACTTACTTCATGTATTTTTTTTTCAAACGTTCTGTATAGTCTTAGTCTATATGTTATCCAGATGCATGAAAACAGCTCATTTTCTGTGGTCCAGCTTTATAGTTATTTACAGTGGAAGGGCAAATTCAGGACCAATTACTCCATAATAATCAGAAGCAGTATAAATATTTTTAATGTGAGAAATACATGAATTAATTTGGGGCATTGCTTTTCTAGTCTGAATACTCTTAGATTTTCTTATTTCAACAAATCTGTGTGTCAAATTACTTAAAGATTTAAAATCCTTAGTGACACTTCAATTATACTTTACGCAGAATAATCTGTATACTTTAGACATGGTTTGATATTATGGTCTTCTTCTGTCATCAGCTTACAAGGAGCCCTGTTTTGTGTATTCCCGAGTAGGGGGCAACCGAACACCTCTGAAGCAACCTGTGGATAACTATGACAATACTTTGACGTTTGAAGCAAGATTTGAGAGTGGAAATCTACAGAAGGTAGTCAAAGTGTAGGTTTTAATTATTTTTATTTGAGGAGCTAGACCTTCAGCTATTTATTACTTTTGGTATTGGGTACATTAAAGTTTTAGTATTCATAAATGAACTGCAATTCCTTGAGGTATGATGCCAATTAGAGATGATTATGAAGGGGGTATGAAAGGTGCACATTATGGATTCAAATACTCTGAACTTAAGTCAAACAGGTTTCTCTACTGTACATTTTTTTTAAAGATTTTATTTATTTGACAGAGACACACAGAGAGAGGGAACACAAGCAGGGGGAGTGGGAGAGGGAGAAGCAGGCTTCCCGCGGAGCAGGGAGCCCGATGCGGGGATCATGACCTGAGCCGAAGGCGGATGCTTAATGACTGAGCCACCCAGGCACCCCTGTACTGTACATTTTTAATATGCCAATATGAATTGTCATAGAGACATGCACACTGCTTCTCAAACTTTTTAATGGAATAATACTTGGGATGAATATTCTGTAAAACATGTTTGGGAACATGCATGCTATCCAAGGGCATTCTTTAAAAAATTTTTACTATAAAAAAATTTAAGTATGGAGAATAATACAATTCTCCATTAACCATCACATACCCATCACCTAGATGCAACAGCTATGGTTTTGCATTATTCATTTCACCTATTCATAGGCCACTGTTGATAACACACACATACACACAAAGGAAGTACATAGTGCTGATGGAATAGAAGGTTACTTGGTAAAGAAAAAGTCACAATTAACCCAGTAAGATTGTGTGTGTATATGTGTATAAAACAAACGTACCAGTAAAATAATTTTTACCTTTAAGTATCCTCAGTGACTAAGTATGGGGAATGCAAATAGTTATCAAATACAGTCCTCGAAGAGTTTCAAATTTTTTAATGTATGTGGTTGTATTAATTTATATGTTTTAAACCTTTCTAAGTGATAGTATTTCAGATCCCTAGAGTTTGAATCTAATAGAAAGCAGGAATATATATCTGAAGTAAAAAAAGGAACATCGGACTTTAATTCAGTTTTAGGAGCTCTTTAATCATTTCTTCTATAGGAAACATAATTGGGTTGAAATATAGAATTTTTTATCAAATGCCCATTTTAATGTGCTCTCTTGAATTACAAAAAAATAAAAAGGCTTTAGAGAATTAGCATAGAAGCAGTTTCAGATCCAATAAAAGAGAAAATTTCAAAACTTTTATCTTTTACAATTGCTCGCTATTGGATGCTGCCTAAATAAACAGCTTCAGGAAAAAAGGCTTTCTGTGAATAGGTAAAAGTAAAATAATTTTCCTTATTTAATTTGAACTTGAATGTCATTTTTACATTTTTATGTGTTTTTCTTTCCTTCCTTCTGTGTATTAGGGCAGAATATGAATACCAGTTGACCGTGCGCCCTGACCTCTTCACAAATAAACACACCCAGTGGTACTATTTCCAAGTCACTAATACCCAAGCAGGAATAGTCTACAGATTCACTATAATCAATTTCACTAAGCCTGCTAGTCTTTACAGTCGGGGTATGCGCCCACTCTTTTATTCTGAAAAAGAAGCCAAGGCTCATAATATTGGCTGGCAGAGAATAGGAGACCAAATCAAGTATTACAGGAACAACCAGGGACAAGAGGGGTGCCATTATTTCTCTCTTACATGGACATTTCAATTTCCACACAACAAAGACACCTGCTACTTTGCTCACTGCTATCCATACACTTACACCAACCTGCAAGAATATCTTTCTACTATCAATCATGACTCAGTACGGTCAAAGTTTTGTAAAATACGCGTCTTGTGCCACACAATTGCTAGGAACATGGTGTATGTTTTAACAATCACTACTCCCTTGAAGAGCACTGACTCAAGAAAGCGAAAGGCTGTGATTTTGACTGCAAGGGTACATCCAGGAGAAACCAACAGCTCTTGGATCATGAAAGGCTTCCTAGATTATATTTTAGGAGACTCAAGTGATGCGCAGTTGCTTCGGGACACTTTCATCTTCAAGGTGGTACCCATGCTGAATCCAGATGGTGTGATTGTGGGAAATTATCGTTGTTCCTTAGCTGGACGAGATTTAAACCGCAATTATACATCTCTCCTGAAGGAATCATTTCCTTCTGTTTGGTATACCCGGAACATGATCCGTAGGTAAAATAAGCCTCAAATTACCTCTCTGCTTATTTAGTAAACTTGGTAGTGAGATTTTTGCTCCCACCATCCCATTCATTTTACTCTAGCTTTTAAGATAGCTTAACTGATAGTTTAACTATAGCTACTTAATTTTTTCCCCATTCTTTCCACTTTTCTTTCTGGCATTATGCCACTGGATTCACTAGCCTTTTCTTAAATAATGAATAAATTTCTAGAACATTTTATTTTTATTTTTATTTTTTATTTTTAAAGATTTTATTTATTTGAGAGAGAGAGAATGAGAGATAGAGAGCACGAGAGGGAAGAGGGTCAGAGGGAGAAGCAGACTCCCCGCTGAGCAGGGAGCCTGATGCGGGACTCGATCCCGGGACTCCAGGATCATGACCTGAGCCGAAGGCAGTCGCTTAACCAACTGAGCCACCCAGGCGCCCTAGAACATTTTAATGGCTTTGTGAAACTAATAGTTAAATTTGCTTATCCCAAATCTGGTTTCTTGCTAAAGCTAAAGGTAACACTGATGTTTAGTTTGGGATGCTTGAATCTCTTACATGTGAAAATTAATTCTATCTCACAGGGCCTCCTGGCACTATGTTGATCAGACATTGCTCTATGAGCCTTTTTTTATTAAGTTTTTAATTTTAATTCCAGTATGGTTAACATACAATGTTATATTAGTTTCAGGTGTGCAATATAGTGATTCACCAATTCTGTACATTACTCAGTGCTCATCATGATAAGTGTACTCTTTATTATGATAAGGCTTCTGACTATCAGGATACATAGTTATTAAAATAAAACTGATGAATTATAGTGTTATTTCCCCCAGAAAAAAATTGAATAGCTTTAAATTTTCCAAAGAATCCAGATCAGTAAATGCACATAATATTTAAATATTTGTTGAATGGGTGAATTCTTTAATAGATTCAGGTGATAACAATCAAATTGGCATGTGCTAGAGCAAAAATATTTAGAGTCACAGAACCCCATTCCAAGTCCAAAGCCCCTTAACCTTTTTGGCTAAGAGTGTGGAGTGGAGTTAAAATATCAGATTGGAACCCTGCTATATCATTTACTAACTGTGTGACCTTGAGCAATTTAAAAACAAATCTAAACCTCAATTTTCTCATCTATAAAATGGTAATAATACTAAACTCATAAGCAGGAGGATTAAATGAGAATATTATTAATAAAGTGTCCAGAATAAAATACGGAGCATTGAAAGCTCTAAATGTATTCAGTGTTAGCTCAGATATAAAAAAAAAAAGTTGTTGATGAATCAGATATAGATGTAAAAACTCATTGTGAACTCTTTAGGATTATTCAAATATTTACAACAATAAGTACTATCATAGAGGGTGTCTATGTCCTGATCCCACTTTGTTACCAGGGCCCCTAGTGCAAGTACAAGGACCCTGTTTCAGGGCTGAGGCCCTCAAGGATACCTCCAGTCACTCGAAGTTGCTGACAGGCTTCAGAAGCACCAAGAAGCATGGCCCCAACCATCTCAGTTCAGCCTCCACTTTCACTTCCACGTTAATTCTTTTATCTGCTTAGGCACAGAAGGAGTGAAGTGCAGATCCCCTCAAAAGGGACTGAAAATTCTTTGTTTTCATACCCCTCAAAGATGTGGACTCCAGGATTCCCTGTAGTTATCTGAGAAAGGTTAAGTGATAAAAGATTTAAAAAAAAAAAAAAAAAACCACCATGACTTCCTTATTTTTCTGGGGATGGCAAACAACCAAAAGAGAGTGAAGTGCAATGTGGTATCCTGGATTGGATTCTGGGACAGAAAAGACATTAGTGGCAAAACTAGTGAAATCCAAATAAGGTTGGGAGTTTAGTTACTAGTGGTGTACCAATGTTGGTTTCTTCATTTTTGACACTGTACCGTGGTTATGTAATTTGTTCACATTAGGGGAAGCTGGGTGAGGGGTCTATGGAAACATTCTACTATTTTTGCAAATTTTGTGTAATCTAAAATTATTCCAAAATGTAAAATATGTATATATATACATATATATAAAAGAAAGGAAGCTGATTAGAATATCTATAATATCTACTTAGTGCTCTTTGACTTTAAGGGTCCCTGGTCCACCACAAGATGGATTATAGGCCAAGGCCCTTTGGCTTGTCTCTATGGAAGATACTTTAAATGTCTCCATTCTTCTCGGATTGCCTTGTAAGAAGGTTAAGGCAGGAATCCAATCAGTTAGTTTCAGAAAGACTTCCAAGAGAGAAAACTACCTTAATGCAATTAATCATAGTTAGGTAAGTAGAATAAGATGTCACATATGTGTGGGAAGGCAAGCAGCTGTAAGTATATCTAAGATTTAGTATATTTAAAGAATATGAGAATAAGAAAGAGTAGATTTTAGTATAGGATGCTAGAATATCTTAGCCTGTGGGTAAGAAGAAAGACCCAAGCCATTTCTCAAGTGATTTAAATTCATGTAAAATTAGACCCTTTGGAAGTAATGAGATATCTTTGGGAATTTCTTGAGTTTATTTTGATTTACGTGTAAGAAACTGAAAGATCATTAAAACTGGGGGAATGTTGGCCAAAAAATGTTCAGCATATTTCATATTTAAAGCCCTAACTTGATAATCTTGCTTTATAATCCACTTAGTTTTCTAAAAACTTGTAATGATCATTTAGTGCTTTATGTCAGTCTTATATTATCAATTCGAATTTATTGGGCACCAAATGAGAAAAGGGCAATCAATTAATACATGTAACAGATCTCACTTTGGGATTTTGCTGTAGTTTAAAGAAGTAGTATAGTTTATAGTCTAGTTTAAAGAAGTATTATTCCTAATAGAAGCTATGCTTTGAATATTTTGATTTTAGGTTTTAATATTTTTGTTATAAAAGTAATACATATATTACTACAAATATCATTGCTAACATTTTGGTATTTAGCCTTCCAGGTATAACAAATAGTGTATGTAATATTGGTTATTTAATATAATGCATGAAGTTTAGAAATAGAAAAAAAGCAAAAAATGCCTGTCATCTTACCACCTTAATACCTCTTTTTTTTTTTTTACCTTTTTAAAGCCTCTCCATTAGTTATTTTCATCAATCAGTTTGGGGAGGCTTTTTTTTTTTTAAAGATTTTATTTATTTGACACAGACAAAACAAGAGAAGAAACACAAGCAGGGGGAGTGGGAGACGGAGAAGCAGGCTTCCCGCTGAGCAGGGAGCCGGATGCAGGGCTCGATCTCAGGACACTGGGATCATGACCTGACCCCAAGGCAGGCGCTTAACGACTGAGCCACCCAGGCGCCCTGGGGCGCTTTTTTTTTTTTTTTTTAAGATTTTATTTATTTGTCAGAGAACAGCAAGCAGAGGGAGAAGCAGTCTCCCCGCTGAGCAACGAGCCCTGTGCGGGACTCAATCCCAGGACGCTGGGATCATGACCTGAGCCGAAGGCAGGCGCTTAACTGACTGAGCCACACACGCGTCCCTAGGGGCTTATTTTTTATTGCTTAAATATTCACTGAGTGCCTAAGTTATACAAGCTTAGGACTGTGCTCCTAAGAAATGTGTAATAATTTCCTTACTTATTAGAAATTTACCAGAAAAAAAAAAATCAAACTTTGGTACCATTTTTCTCAAAATAGTATTTACCACTTTAATCAAGGGTTGTATAATAATTGGCTTCACCAGGTTGTCAGGTACTCAATTTTTAACAAATATTTGGGTACTCTTGTGCATAGCACTGTTCTAGATGATTTGAAGTATTTCTTACCCTTAACAAGATTAAATATCAAAAATATGAAAACTTTCCAAGGCAAATGTCAGCAAATGGTACCAATATTATGTGCTATAGGAATTCAAAAAAAGAAAAATCTGTGGTCTTGACTGGTTAGGAAGTGAGACATGGAGTCAGCCTTGAGGGATGAGGGGCAGTATTTGTACTTATGGAAATGAAGAAAGTAGGTATTCTAGTCAGGAAGAATCTCTGTGAAAGCTAATGGGCAAAGTAGGAGTAAGCTGTTTTCTTTATACGATGGAAAACCAGAATAATAAAGCAGAGGATCCTATTGGAGAGTCTTGGGAGTAAGGTAAATTTTGTCCTTATGATGGAAGGCAAGCATTCGTATTTTATATATAGCTAATAGGAAATTATTGTAGATGTCTTAAAATTTTTAATAATATGTGGTATGGATAAGAGAAAAGTTGAAAGTGAGGATATAAGAAATTCTATTTATTTGGATATTAGACTTGTAAATCCATAGAAAAATGCAGAGGTAAAATTTGGTAACTCATTTAGTAACTTCTTTTTTGTCTTGGTAGATTGATGGAGAAACGAGAGGTTATTTTATATTGTGACCTTCATGGCCATAGTAGAAAAGAGAACATCTTCATGTATGGCTGTGATGGTAGTGATAGATGTAAAGCATTATACTTACAGCAACGAATCTTCCCACTTATGCTGAGCAAAAATTGTCCAGATAAAGTAAGACCATTTAAGATTTTTAACTTTTCCTTTATTACATGTTGCCCATGTGAGACTGCAGAATAGATCACCTTGTTCAGTAAACTTTTTTATTTAGTTCTTTTGACTGCCTTATACAGTTGACCATAAAAAAGCAACTACGTGGAATGTTTAGTGACAAATAATTTGAAATGTGAAGGAAAAAATACACCTTATCTTACACCATACCTAATGATAAAAGACTTTTCCTTATAAGGGCAGGAACAAGGCCTGGATAACCACCCTTACCTCTTCAATTCAGCCTTATGCTGGAGATTCTAAGTGCTGAAAGGCAAGATAAAGAAAAGGCAGACACTTTGGAATAAAGATGACATGATTGTCTTCATAGAAAATCCAAAGCAATGCACCAAAAAACCTTCCTAGAACTAATAAGTGAGTTTAGCAATGTCCTACATGACAAGGTCCCCCCTCAGAAATGAACTACATTTCTATATACTCACACTGAACAATCGCAAACCAAAACTGAAAATGACACCATTTACTGTAGCTTCAAAATAAATAACTGTGACTGCAAAGGAATAACACAAGGGAGTTTTTTAGAGGTGATGGAACTGTCCTATATCCTGATTGTGGTAGTGGCTACACAAATCTATACATTTGTCAAACTCATAGGATGGAACACAAGTTAATTTTATTATAAATAAAAAAATAGCGAAAACTTTTTAGAGAGACTGACGTTATAACAATCTTTCAGGACAGCTTTCCAATGATTGAGCTTGTAAAAGTAAAGCACCCTTATTTTATTCAAAACATCTACATTAATTTTATTCTTAAACATATTTAAGCCCTTTCCTATAACTTTTTTGAAGTATAAGAGCTTATCCCAACAGAATCAAGAATGCATATGTTATATATAAAAAGTAAAATTTATTGCCAGTGTTCTCAAATCTGTACTTCTGAGAAATGAAAATATGTCATCCTTAAAATAAGTTATTTCCACTGGTTTGGAAATAAAAGTAGCCCCTGAAGCTTTAGAGAGAATTACTGCATTTGCACTACTTTCTCATTTTCAACCCTACTTCCTAAGAAAGACATTGTACTCAGAAAAACACATTTTCTCATTTTTATTTGCTTCTTTTTAGTTTTCATTCTCAGCTTGCAAGTTTAATGTTCAGAAGAGCAAAGAAGGAACAGGAAGGGTAGTAATGTGGAAAATGGGAATCAGAAACAGCTTTACCATGGAGGCTACTTTTTGTGGATCTACCCTGGGTAAGACCCAGTGTTCTCATTCATGGCTCTCAGAGCTTTAAACCAAAGAAATATTTTTAGTGTGAGATTAATTGGGTGGACAATTTGATAGTGGGCACTTCCTTCCCACTTAGATACATGCTGGTGTCCAATTGCTTCTATATATAGGATGAACAAACTACCACTCTGTATCTCCATCTCATCATTTCCCTTTGTTTAGAAAACAAAGTGTTAGCATATAGATAGAATACCTAACTGGTTATTTCATGAACTAATCTTTAATTGCTTGTTTTCATTTTGTTTTTAAGGAGTCCTTACAGATGACTTGTGATTTCAAGAAAAAGCAATGCTCATACTTAAAATCAGGATAGAAATGTTTTTGGTGGATTTGCTATTTGCAAGTCAAAGTAGACTGGGTTTGTTGGGGGTTCTTTGAGGGGGTCAATTTATATTTTAATGGAAGCACTCGGTTCCTTTAACTAAAAATAAAAGCGTGCTCTCTAGTTCCATTTAAGAAATCTTTTAGTCACATCTAGTTTACCCTTAGAATACTCCATATTAAGAAAATTGTTACATTTTTAGAAAATTTATTGACTCAAAGGAAAGTGCTAGAAATCCACACGTATAATTTCTGTTTTTTAAAGCACCTTGAAACTGATACAACGCTATCTATGGTGATGAAAACATTAAAATATTTACCCGCGTTTTTCACTATTGATTATGAGTGTGTTTGTAACTGGTAACCAAATATTCCATAATTTCTTATTAAATTTTCTTCTGCCTTACAACACAGACTAATACATGTTAAGTCAGCTTTGATCCAGGGGTGGAGAGGGAAGGAGGGTAAGCAGTGAGGTGTTAGATGACCTGCCCCAAAGAAGAAAATCCAAAGGACAGCTATAGAATTCATATCAGATGTTTTGTTTATTTATACTCTCTGTTTCACAGTTTAGGCCTACCGATTAAGGACAAGTGATTAACTCATCCTCAATGGTGGATAAACTTATTGATATTTTAGGTAATAAACGGGGCACTCATTTCAACACAAAAGACTTGGAGTCAGTGGGATACCATTTTTGTGATTCTCTCTTGGATTATTGTGATCCAGACCGAACCAAGGTAAGCAAAGTCCATTTGGTAATGTATCAAACTCAAGTTTATGAGATAATATAACCTAACTAAGGGCCTATGGCAGTTGTTTTTCTTTTAATATCCTAACAGTGTTTGAGGTTTCTAGTACTTGATGCCCCCCTAGCTATTGTTCCAGGTGTCTATAAATATTCAATTAGTTTAATTCAGAAATAGAGTTAATTTGTAATTAATTTATCATTTTCCCCTAGTATTATCAGTGCTTGAAAGAATTAGAAGAAATGGAAAAACATATAAACTTGGAAAAAATCCTTGAGTATTCAGATACTTCTCTGAAAGAAATGACACTGGATCTAGAGTCTAGGTAAGTCAAGATGGTGGATGTAACATAGTTTGTGCCATGTTACTGTGCTCTTTATAATAACAGGAGGATATAAAATTCTCAGTCTCAACTGAAAATCCCAACTATAGGTGGAGGAAAAGTTTTCCATGCACTTTACTTTGGTCCAACTTCATTAAGACTTCAGTTATTTATTCAAGTAATATTAATTGAACACCTATTATGTCCTGTACATGAAAGACATACTCAAATTGTTTTTGATGCTGACATTACCCACAGAGAATTGACACATTTATAGAGATGCCACATACATACTCTAAATTAGCGAATAACAAATGCAAAACTTAATGCTAAGGGAATGTTGTTGGAAGAATGAAGGTACTAATTTTGTACAGTTTCCTATAGGAAAGACAGAACAAATGTTTGTTTCTTTTCCTTTATTTATAAATTTTCAGACCTTGCATTAGTGCCCCTGCAACCTCCAGAGGTGACTAATAAGTTTGTTTGCAGATGGAGAGTATCATTTTTTTTTTAAAGATTTTATTTATTTATTTGAGAGAGAGAATAGAGAGAGAGCATGAGAGGGGAGAGGGTCAGAGGGAGAAGCAGACTCCCTGCTGAGCAGGGAGCCCGATGCAGGACTCGATCCCGGGACTCCAGGATCATGACCTGAGCTGAAGGCAGTCGCTTAACCAACTGAGCCACCCAGGCGCCCTGGAGAGTATCATTTTGAACTCATGGATTTGTTTCTATTTGATGTGTTCCAATTTCAGTCATTGTTCTTCTAATACTCTGAGATGCCGAGAACTATGACATCTTCACTTTGTAATATTTACAAATTTATTTGTAATGTTTACCTTTGTAAACATTCTTCTTATAATTAGAACCATTTTTACCATTCCAATAATAGGATAAAAGCAACAGTTAAAATTTTAAAATGCCACCAAAATGTTATTTATTATTATTTTTATACTTAAAATATAGATTGTTCATAAATTAAACATTGTAACTTTAAATAAAATATTAAATATAATAATTAAAATAACTTAATACTTATTATATCAAAGTTATTATTTTTTGTAGCAGCCGAGGCTCCGACAGTTCAGAATCCAATGAGTCTCAGACTTATCTTCTCAAGTTAACTTCTCAGGTATGATTGAGAATCTCTGCCTATGGTATGGATATACCAAATAGGTATTCTTCTCACTGTGACTAACAATCAGACAAAAATATGCTTGCAGTTGTGTAGTTACTGTATAGCAGTAACTGCTGCTTTCTGATTATGTATCTTTAAATCATAGAATTTTCTATCCTTAGGATTTTTAGCACACTTACTTTCAAGATCCAGACAGCTTACTTCTCAAAAGCCACACCACTTGTTAATGAGAGTTGGTAGCCTAACATACATCACTTGACTGCAAATTCAATATTCATTTATTCTTTTATTTAACAACTACATATTGAGCTTCAGCTATGTGTTGGCAATAGAGCAGTGAACAAAAAATGAGACAAAATCCTCTTTAATTACTTATATTCTAGTTGGTGGAAATAAAAAATGAGAAATAAGTAAAATATGTACCAGGTAATGGTAAGTGCCTTAGGAGAAATTAGAATAGGAGGAGAAGTAGGGAGTTCAGGTGGTACTGAACGTTTATGCCCCCACCAAATACATATGTTGAAACCCTAACCCTCAATGTGATGGTATTAGGAGGTGACTAAGACAAACTAAGACACTGCTCTCTTAGTACCAAATGTGGGTGCTGCTGTAACAAATACCTAAAAATGTGGAACTCGCTTTGGAATTCGATAATGGGTAGAGGCCAGCAGAGCTTTGAAGTGCATGTTAGAAAATGCTGATTGCCACGAAGGAACTTCCAAAGGTGATTCTGGTAGGGGCTCAGAAAGGAAAGGGGGGAGCGAGTTTCCATCTTCTTAAAGAATACACAAATAATCACGTGCAGAACATTAGCAAAAATATGAATATTAAAGGTAGTTTTCATGAAGTCTCAGAAACAAACATGCTATTGGCTGATGGAGAAAATTTTAATCCTGACTATAAAGAATTTGGCTGAATTGTGTTTGTGTTCTCTTGTTTTATGGAAGGTAGAACTTGTGAGTGTTATTTGGGATCCATCACCCCATCCTTCTTTTCTGTTTCTCCCTTTGGGAATGTCTGTCCTATGCCTATCCCACCACTGTATTTTGGAAGCACATAACTTGGAATGGAATGGGATGGAATGAATGCATTTTTCATGAGAGAAGGACTTGAATTTGGAGGGCCCCGGGAGAGAATGCTATGCCTGAATATTTCTATCTCCCCCAAATTCATATGTTGAAATTATAATGCCCAATATGATGGAACCAGAAGGTGGGCCCTTTGGGAGGTGATTAGGTCATGAGGCCAGAGCCCTCTGAGTGGGATTAGTACCTTCGAGGCTCCAGAGAGGTCCCTAGCCCCTTCTACCATATAAGGATACAATAAGACATCTGCAGCCCAAAAGAGAGCCCTCACCTGACCATACTACCACAATGATCTCAACCTTTTCCCTGAAGAACTATGAGAAATAAATTTCCATTATTTTCAGCCAACCACTCTGCAGTATTTTGTTATAGCAGCTGAATGGAATAAGACAGATGTATTAGTTTTCTATTGCTGAGTAACAGATTACCCCAAGCAGCAGCTTAAAACTTTTCAGATACTTATTATCACACCATTTCTGTGAGACAGGGATTCAGGAGTGGCTTTGCTGGATGCTTCTGTCTAACGTCTCTCAAAAGAGTGCTGTGAAGGTATTGGTCAGGCTCTGGTCTCATCTGAAGGCCTGAGGAAGGATCCACTTTTAATCTCGCTTACATAATTGTTAACAAAATTCAGTTCTTCAGAGGCTTCTGGGCTAAAGACCTTAGTCCCTTATTGGCTGTTGGCCTTCAATATCCTATCCAAAAAATCATTGACAAATTCAGTGTTGTCAAGTTTTGTCCTATGTTTTTTTCTAAGACTTTTATCCTTTTAGGCTTACATTTAGGTCCTTAATCTATCTTGAGTTAATTTTTTGTATTTGGTATTAGGTAAGTGTCCAATTTCATTCCTTTGCAAGTGGATATCCAGTTTTCTGAGCACCATCTGTTGATGTAATAATGTAGAATAAATTATTCTTTGTGTATAAAAATGAAATTGATTTTTTTGTGTTGACTTTGTATCCTACTACACTGATTTAATTTATTAGTTCAAACAGGTTTTTTGTGGAATCTTTAGGGTTTTTAAAATATAAGATCATGTCATCTACAGAGATCATTTTCTTATTTTCCCATTTCAATGCCTTTTATTCAGTTTTCATGCTTAATTGCTCTGGCTAGAACTTCCAGTATTGTGTTGAATAGAAGTGATAAAAACAGACATCCTTGCCTTGTTCCTGATCTTAAAGGAAATGCTTTCAGCCTTCACCATGAACATAATGTTAGCTGTTGATTTTTCGTACATGACTTTTCTTGTGTTGAGGTAGTTTCCTTGTATGCCTTGTTTGTTGGGATTTTTTAATGGTGAAAGGGTGTTGAATTTTGTAAAATGCCTTTTCTGTATCAATTGAGATGATCATGTGGGGTTTTTTCCTTCATTCTGTTGATGCAGTGTTTTACATTGATCAACTTGGTATGTTGAGCCATCCTTGCATGCCAGGAATAAATCCTATTTGGTCATTGTGTACAGTCCTTTTAACATGCTGCTGAATTTAATTTGCTAGTATTTTGTTGATTTTTTGCATTAACGTCATACGAGATGCTGGTCTTTATTTTTTGTAGTGTCTGTCTGGCTTTAGTAGTAGAATAATGCTGGCCTCATAGAATTAGGAAGGGTTCCCTCCTCTTTGGTTTTTTAGAAGAGTTTGAGGACTGGTATTAGTTCTTTAAATGTTTGGTAGAATTCTCCCAGAAAGCCATCAGGTCTAGGGTTTGTTGTTGGGAGATTTTTGATTTACTGATTCAATCTCCTTACTAGTTATTCATCTGTTCATATTTTCTATCTCTTTGTAATATAGTCTTGCTAGGTTTTGTGTTTCTAGGAATTTGTTCTTTCATCTAGGATATCTAATTTGTTGGTACATAATTTTAATAATAAGTCTTAAGTTTTAAAAGATAGCTGTCTTACAAAGTATCTTCTCTGATCACAACAGGATGAAACTGCATTAATAACTGCTTTTTTTCTTTAAATGTATTAGTCTTTTATATGGAAAACAAAAAGTGCTCTTTAAAACCATTGTTACAAAAATATACTAGCTTTTATAATTGCCTGTGTTGTTACCTTGAGATCTTTATTTCTCTCTACAGATTTCTAGTGTCCAGTGTCTTTTCATTTCACCTTGCAGGACTCCCTTGAACATTTCCAACAGGATGTGTCTAGTGGTCACAAACAAAAACTGAGGGAGTTCATCTGGGAATGTCTTAATTTTTTCCTAATTTTTGAAGGACAATAATGCCATTTTTTAAAGCACTTTGAATATGTTGGTGCACTATCTTCTGACCTCCAAAGTTTCTGATATCTAATAATTTTTTTTAAAGATTTTATTTACTTATTTGACACAGAGAGAGAGACAGTGAGAGCAGGAACACAAGCAGGGGGAGTGAGAGAGGGAGAAGCAGGCTTCCTGCTGAGCCGGGAGCCCGATGCGGGGCTCGATCCCAGGACCCTGGGATCACGACCTGAGCCAAAGGCAGACGCTCAATGACTGAGCCACCCAGATGCCCCCCCCCTTTTTTTTTACATTTATTTATCTTAGAAGGACAGAGCTTGTGAGAGGAGGGGCAGAGGGAAAGAATCTTCAAGTGGACTCTGTGCCAAGCATGGAGCCTGATGCAGAGCTCAATCTCATGACTCTGAGATCATGACTTGAGCTGAAACCAAGAGTCAGGCTTAACCAACTGAGCCATGCTGGTGCCCCGAGAAATCTATAATCTTACTGAGGATTCTTGCATGTAACAGTTTGCTTTTCTCTTGCTACTTTCAAGATTATCTTTGAAAGTTTGATTATAATGTATCTCATGATGGGTTTTTGAGTTCATCTTACTTGGGAGTTTATTGAGCTTCTTGGATGTTTACATTCATGTCTTTCATCAAATTTGGGGAGTTTTCAGACATTTTTTCTTCACTTATTGGCATTTCTGGGTTGCTGGTTTCTCCAGTTCTTAACGCTGGGATGTATGAGGCAAAAACAAAATACAGGATCTACTCACCATCCTGCTGCCCCTCTGCTCAACCCTCACTGGTCTGCCTTTCCACTTTTTAGAGCCTCTTATGTTTAATTTCTATATAATACTCAGGGGTTTTAGTTGTACTTAGAGGAATAGAAAAATACTTCCTAGAACTGGAAGTCTCAAGATAGTTTTATGTCCACATATATACTGTCTTTGATGTGTTAAATATTGAATTTAAATATGATTGTTATTTAGATAAAAAGCAAGAAAAAACACCTGAAAACAAAGAAGGAAAGAAATTCTACCATAGCAAGTCATCAAAACACCAGAGAAGAGCAAGAGGTATGCATTGATCTGGTTATTAACAGTTTTTGAAAAAAAATGGTTGCAGGAGAATGGCAAGTCATTTCTTGTTACATTTCCTATGCCCTAATTGTTTTCCCCAGGAAAAGTTAATGATTACAACTTTGCTCATATTATTTCCTATTTATAAAAACACAAAAGAACCTTGACAGATGAGAGGTGGGTTTTATTAAGGTACTATATTTAAATTTCACTTAGTTTACTCTGAAAAGTATTTGAAGCATCTTACAAAGATACATCTAGGATAGAAATTAAAAGAAAGAAAGCTAATTAAAACAAAAATTAAATGGCAGTACAAAAATGTGAGAAGAGATGCTGCTGCGATACTGACTTCCATCATGATAGCATGAGGAGCTCTGCAAATCCATTCACCAAGCAAAAATTGGTGAACCCCCCCCACACACATACAACCATTTAAAGGTTCTAGAAATTGTCCTAAGGGCAGACAGCAAATGAAAAAAAAAATCTGTGAAAATCTAAAACTTGGTAAAAAGAAAACAGCAAGAGCCTGTGGTATTTGAACCCCCCCCCCCCGCCCCCGAGTCCAGTGAGACTGAAACTCCACTCCTGACTAGTGCGGCCAAGAACGCAGGGCCCCCTCCCCCTCTCTCCACAGATGCTATCTTCCCAAGGAGGGCAGGGCATCAGTATTTCCTAGCCTGCCTCCAGGTCCCTGTTGTTGAGGCGAAGTTCCAGGTGAGTACAGCCAAGAGGTGGGGGCTCCCTTCTTCTATCCAGGCCCCATTCGTGAGACAGATTCTGCCGGGAATGCTACATGACATATTTTGGCCCCAACTGCCCTTGCCCTAGCTTGTAAAATGGGGATTCCACCCCGAAGAGGCCAAGAGAGAAGGCCTGAGGCTACTGCCCTCTTTCCACCTACAGCTCAGCTCCTAAAGTGGGTGTCCCTGAGAGAAGAGGGCCATTATCCCCACCCCCAGGTCCAGAGACACTCAGGTCAAAAATTCTGCCTTTGGGGAGAACCAGACAAAAACAGATAGCTTTTTTTTTTTTTAAGAACTTTATTTTGAAAGAATTAACATAGTCACAGGAAGTTGTAAAGAAATGTATGTACAGGAGCTCTGCTGCATCCTGTACTACTTCTCCAGTGTTACCATCTTGCATACATTATACTGTATCGATGCCATGAAACTGATGCTGACACAGTCCACAGAGCTTACAGTTTACCAGTATGCATGCACTCATTTGTGTGCAGTAGTCCTCATAAATTTTTAATTCTAGTCGAGTACACTGTTTGTTGGAGTAGTATTGCATATTTTTACAATGATATTTTTGTTTGTAAATTGTGCAGTCTAAGCAACATGGGTATGCTTGGGAGAGGGTCAAGATTATAAAAAAAATTTTGGGAAACTAATCAATTTCAGTGTGTTAAGTCATTTACAGAACCCAATAACCAAAGTAGATTTTGTTTGGGGGGATTGTTTTTTAGTGTTTTGTATGTGAGACACATACTTCTCATAAACATATCCACAGAGTGGTTTTTTTCATGCAAAATATAATAAATTCCTTTATATTAAATGTTTATATATTTTCCCCTTCCTTGATTGGAGCTTCAAATTTTTTGTGAAATCATAATCTATATTTAATATTGGATTTTCCAGTTGGAAAACAATCATTTAGTCATTTGAAAAGGCTGCACACATTATAAGTATGCTTATAAACTAATAGGAGTTCTTAGCCATTGATCTTGAAATTTATTTTCTAATCTTGGGCAAAAAAAGTGAACAGTATCATCTTAACTGAGCTTAATGCCTGAGGACAACTTAAATTCATGCTCTGAACTATTATTTTGTTTGTAAGACATCCAAATATCCCAAAAATATTATTTTTAAGTTATTTTAAAGTATCTTAGTTAACTTTATTTCCTACCGGACATTCTCAATAATTGATTTGGAAGACTTTCAACAAAAACAAACAATTATAGATTACCGTGGTTAGAATTAGGAGATCATGTTCAAAAGGACACTGGCCTGGTGATTTTCAGTAGGATGAATGTAATAGTTTATTGTGGCTTACAGCATCATTTCAATCAAGGGAAGAGGGCTAAAAATAACTGAGTTCATCAAATCAGGTCTTATCACAAGTGAATTTCTCCAGCCTAATTTTACCTCTTGTCTCTCCAAATTCTAGTGATTATATAATATTGTTACTTTTAACTTTGTATAATTTTTTATAGAATATTTCCTTTCTCTGTGCCTTCAACAATCAAGTTTTGATTTTTTTATAATTTTCATAATGATTATATCAAATTTTTTGCTCCCAAATTTATCTACAAAGAAGGTAATTTTAGTTTTTAACTCTATTTCATAGTCCACTTTTTTTTCATAGCCCACTTTTCATCATGAGTTGATAATGCATAACATGTTGGCAAAAAAAATGTTGACATTTTCAATATTTTTTTCCTTTCCATTGCCCTTTTGGAAATTTCTTTATAATATCCACATACCACAGTTGGAGAAACAAAAGTTTGAAAACAAACTTTTTGAAAAAGTTTGGTCACGTGATTTGTAGACTATTCAGGATTTGTTATAATTCTACAATGTTTTATGTCTCATTTAGTCTAGCTGGGTCATTATTGACAACTTCTTTTTCAAGGTAGAAAGCAATGTCATGTGTATGCTCTTACTCTGGACTTTGACAAGCTATGAGAAAATATTTTTCATCTTTTTTATATAAGTATAGTTTTGTAATCAATTATACATTTTCACACAATTTTATGTATTTTTACTCATTTCATATTCTTACCTTCCTACATCTTTATTCTCATTTAAATGAGATTGTAAGCATACATTTTTTTTTGTCTCTCACTGTAAGTAAATTCTATATGAAATAAAAAAATTTAACTCCTAGTAGTGCCAAAATATCAATATTTTCTTCTTCTCAATGCTGCAGGAGAATAGTAGTGTTATGAAAGGCATTAGGAGGTTCTGATTTAAGAGATTTTTGTCTACTCTAAACCTATGATAAAATGAGAAATGTTGAAAACTACTATACCAAGGATGATATAGGAAATATACCGCATTTTCATGTTTATAACGTAGTATTGTTTTCCTTTTGGTTCTGTGTTCCATTAGGCATGTGATAAAGGACATTTAGTGCAAAGACACAGAGAATCAAATTCTGATGTGAAAGGTAATGTTCTGCTTCTACCCTCTCTAAACAATTCATTCAGTGAACACTTTCTGTGCCACAACTTTGAGGTTTCCAGTGTGCCTGGTGCTAGGGATATTAAGAAGTATACTATACCATTTCTTACTCTCAGGAGCTCATCTTTTAATAGGGGGAGAAAAACAAGTAAACAAACAAATTAAGTGCAGTGTTACAGGTGCAATGCCAGTATTCTAGACTGGGTTCCTAGACAGCACGAGGAAGGAGTGGTCAACTACACTGGAGGGTTGGAGTGAGTGGTTCATGAACTTGATGGAGATCTCTGATTTGAGAGGTTTTTCCCCAAACAATATAGGGATTTTATGTTTTAGAAACCATCTTGGTCTTCTCATTTCTTAATAGAGGACGAGCCCAGGAGAATAAAATTGTGGACTATTCATTTGCTTCTGCTGGAATCTGCTAAGTTGGATATGAATTTGACTCTCTATTTGCATTACTCCCATCCAAGTACTAACCAGGCCTGACCCTGCTTAGCTTCCGAGATCAGATGAGATCGGGCCATTCAGGGTGGAATGGTCGTAACCCTATTTGCATTACTATACATTTATACCACACTTATTTCCAAAAAAGGATTTGAGATAACCTAATTAAAAATATATATATACATGTATATATATCCATTTAGTTTATGATCTAGCAGGCTAACTAGAAATAGAAATGGGAATAAGAACCACACCAAGGAAAGAGGAAAATTCTATTATACCTAATACGGTTAGGTATTTCTCTTTCTCATAGTGATCATACAAGAAAATCACTTTTTATATATAACTTTATATATTCTGTTGAAAATTTAATATCAAAAATCAGAACTGAAAAGCACCTTTTAGAATACTTATTTTAGACCTTTTTCTACGTCTGAGCACATATACTCCATGTTAATCACAGAATGTTCATGTTTTGCAACCTACATTTTCATTTAAAATTACAGTATATTATGAACTTCTTTACATATGTTAAATGGTGGCAAAGTATTCCATTGTATTAGTGAACCTTAAATTTAGCTACCTCCGTTGTTAATTTTGCTTATTTTCTGTTACAATAATGAATACCTTATAACTCTTTGTGTATATTCTTATTTATGATAGATTCCTAGAAAGGAATTGCTGACCCAAAGGGTATGAACATTTTTAAGACTTTTACCATAAAGAGCAAAAATGCAACAAAAATTCATATTTGAGAACTGTTTGTATTAATTTATTGAGCAAAACTACATGTTATCTTCTAGCCTTTTTTGTTTAGAAAAAGAAAAAATATGAAGTGTAAAAGACAAATTATTTTCATGCTACTAATGATTTTTATCATCTTTTCTAGATATAAAGCCAAATGTGTCAGATAATTGTATATTTGATTATTTCAGAAGACCATTCCCTAATCAAGGTTTGGGTGAGTGAACTAGGAATATAGACAGTAATGAGTGCTCACAAATCATCTGAATGTGAGTTATTTAACCATATGTATCTGATCAAGATTTACGTGTAAGAAACTAGATTATCTTCAAACCAATAGCCAAGGAGAAATTCACCTTCCCAGAAATTTATGTATCTCAAATTTTTATTTTTCTCTCTAGCTCTAGAAATTCATAAAGGAAGCCAGTAGAATTTCATATGTCAAATTGCTGTCTTGTAATTTTTACATAGTCAAAATTAAAAAAATACCTCATTGTCTAACCTCTTCATTCCCATCTCATGAATCCTAAAGAAGAGAGAAGCCCTTGAGAGTCCTCTAGCCTCACCTATTCATTCCAGGATCCAGCTTCATCCAGCCTTTGATTCACTACACTTGGTGACAAGTAGTTTACCCGGTTGCCATACAGTTCATTCCATTGCTAGAGAGCTGAGGCATTGAAAATGTTCTTTTTATGTTGAGCTAAAAACATGTGCCTCTGTAAAGTTCATCCACCTCTTTAATTACACAAAACAAAAAGTGGAATAACCTCAAAGGTAAATATTTCTGACAGACTCATTTTCCCTGATTCTCCTTGAAAAATGAGAACAAATGAGATTTTCCTTGTAATGCCTCTTCCAAGATAGTATTTTTTTAAAGCTATCCTGTATTTCCCTGAAACTTTCCTTCCATTCTTTCAGCCATCCACAATATAGCATGATTCAAGTCCTTTTCCACCTGATTTTATTCTCTCCTGTCACTGTTCAAGCTTGAATGAAACTGAACACAGTATTACAGATGTCAGCTAGTAGGTGTACGATAAATCATCACTCTCATTTGCTGCTTTTTAGATACTCGTTTTCCATTAATGCAGCCTAAGGTTGCATCTGTCTTTTGGAACCTATCCTAAAGTATTGATAAATTCGATTTGTGTATACTCAAACCTATAAAGTTTTGTTTTCATTGTGTTGCTGCTTAGTGTCTCCTCCATCTTCGGCTTCAGTTGGTATTTTGGTTCAGTGTTCTGGGCCTTAAATTTATTCTTGCTAAATTAAATCATCTTATATTCAGCCTTTCATGAACTCTTGATCTTATGTCATGTTGTACTCTCAATATATTTTTATGTATGCATATACAAATGGACATATCTATAAATATGCATCTGACCTCTTGTCAAAGCTTTAGACTTATATTTAACTATCTCTTAAACATCTCCACCGAGATGTCCCACATATCCAAATTCAAGTTCATCTAATTCTACACTAAATGCTGTTCCTCTTGTACTCTCCATAACCTTGGTAGCAGTACTATCTACATAACCACACGTTTCAAGCTAGAAACGTGACAGTTACCCTTTGTTCTCCTTTCATTTCCATCCCTCAGATTCAGTCAGCCACTGAATCCAGTGATTTTTGCCTCAGAATCTCTTCATCTCCATTTTAACTGTCATCATTCTTTTCAGACTCTTATCACCTGTTTACGAGATTTCTAACTGGCTTCCTTGCCACCAATATTGTCATCCTAATTCCACTTTTCATACTACCATAAAAGTCATCAAAAACACCAATCAGATTATGTAAAACGACTACCTAAAGACTTTCACTAATTCCTAGTTTCCTAGCAGGGTTTGAAGTTGGCACAGTCCTTAAACTTAAAAAAAAAAAAAAATTAGAAAGCCTACAAAAATTTAACTCTTAATTTTGAAATAATTTCAAGGATAGTATGAAGAACTCTACCTAATATTCCCCCCAATCCATTTTTTTTTTTGCAGACATCATGTGTCTTTATTCCTTAACAACTTCAACATATATTTTCCAAGAACAAGAACACTGTCTTACATTAAAATCAGGAAATTTAACTTTGATACAGTACAAAATGTAGCAATAATGTCCTTTAGAGCAAAAATCGCATTTTTTTTAAGATTTTTTTTTTTTATTATTATTTGAGCAAGCAAGTGCACAAGCAGGGGATAGGGATAAAGGGAGAGGGAGAAGCAGACTCCCCGCTGAGCAGGGAGCCCGATGCGGGACTCGATCCCGGGACCCTGGGATTGTGACCTGAGCCGAAGGCAGATGCTTAACCAACTGACCCAGGCGCCCCAAAAATCACATTTAAATGCCACATCCCTTTATTCTCTTTCAGTTTGAAATAGTCACTTAGCCTTTCCTTGTCATGCACAGCCCTGGCATTTTTGAAAACCATGGGCCTGTTGTCTTATAGATGTTTGGTTTTAAAGTTTTAATACACGCGAGAATTACCTGGGAAGTTTATGGAAACCCCAGCTTCTGATTCTGAGCTGGTCTTTGTAGTCAACCCCTGAATCTACATTTTTTAGAAGGTACTTAAGATAACTCTGATGTTGGCTGGGGCGCCTGGGTGGCTCAGTTGTTAAGCGTCTGCCTTGGGCTCAGGTCATGATCCCAGGGTCCTGGGATCGAGCCCCACATCGGGCTTCCTGCTCGGCGGGAAGCCAGCTTCTCCCTCTCCTTCTGCCTCTGCTTGTGTTCCCTCTCTCGTTGTGTTTCTCTCTGTCAAATAATAAAATCTTTAAAAAAAAAAAAAAAAAGATAATTCTGATGTTGGCAATTTGCAGACCATACTTAGTAACTCACCACTTCGGGAGCTATCCTGAGAGATGGTGAAAGCCCATCAAACCCTTCTTCATCCACATAGCTTTCTTTCTTTCGATAATCTGTTTAAAAGAAAAAGATTTTTTGACAACCACTTGCTACAGCATAGAAACCAAGTTATATAACATGATGTACAAGACTTCCAATGAACTGGTTCCTGACTACCTCTCCAGTTTTACCTCTTGCCATTCTCTGCCTTTTACTTTAGACCTCAGCAAAGATGATCTTCTTGTAGCCTCAGAATATATCAGTCTTACCACCCTATGCCTTTGCTCCTGCTGTCTTCTTTGCCTGAAACATAATTCTCCCTCTCTTTAACTAGAATACCTACTCATCATTTAAGGAGTAGGTATTGGATTTTAGTAAGACTCATATACAGTTCATTTCAAGAAGAGTGAGTGATAATGATATGCACAAACTACTCTGATTGTTCAGAGAACAGGATCAAATCCAGCCTGGAAATCTTGGGGAATGTTTTCTTGAAGGAATTGATCCTTAAATTATGATGCAGCCTTAAATGACAAAATTGGGCACTTAGCAGAGACCAGAGAGTCACTTCCTTGAATTCTTAAAAAAAATTTTTTTTTGTCAGTGGTTTTGTGATCTTATATGTAAATTCTTTCCTTACTTGAGATACAATATGTATGGGACTAGAAATAACTCATTCAGAGCCTTTTGACTTCTGTCATCTCTTACCAATATTTATTCTCCCCTTTCTAGAGAAAAGAAAACTCTATTTGATAGAAAGACAGAAGCAACTTAAGAGCTGAGGGATTCTGCTCTTTGTCATCCATCAGGATGATTATTATTAAAATAATCCCAGCAGTATAGATTTAAACATTCTGTGATATATATTCATTCTGAATATAGCTAAGTAAAATTTACATCTTGTCAGTATTTATTCATATCTTAACTCGATATTTTAACCTTCCTGACCCTATTCTTCTATGTCTCAACCACTCTCTTATCAATCTTTGTTATATAATCTCCTTACCGTGTTTGTTCATGTTCTTTTAAAAATCTGATGGTTATCTGCTTCCCAGAAGGCTCAAGTATACTGTCAGGGATTGTGCTAGATACTAGGATACAGTGGAAATACAGTCTATTCTCAGTAAATAGAGTGACAAGTAAAGAGACAACAGAAACATAATGAGATCAATGCTACCTGCTGTGTTATGGGATTATATAGGAGTTGTTTGGGGATGGATAGGGGAGTACCAGAGAAATTATCTCAAGAAAGGCAACTGTTAGGATTCCAGGGGCCAATTTTTTTTTTTAAACCAAGATCTGAATCTATTAAGAATTAAGACAAAAAGACAAAATATTAGCAAACTGAATCCCACAACCTATTTAAGGATTGTGCACAATGACCAAACAGAATTTATCCCAGAAATGCAAGATGGATTTAACATATGAGAAAAGTAAACAATGTAGACTTCCAGGGACGATGGTGGAGTAGGAGGATCCTATGATCACCTCATCCCGTGGATACAACTAGATAACACCTGCATCAGAAAACGACCCAAAGACTGGCAGAACAGACTCTTCATAGCTAAATGTGGAGAAGAGGACACATCCTTGTCCTACCCCACAAGAGGAGGGTAGGAAGGGCAGAGATGAGGTCAGGAGCTAAATGGACTGGTGGGACTATTTGCTATAGGGAGGAATGCCATGAATGCGGAAAGGAAAGAGTACCAGACCCTCACACCAAGCACCCCAGGCCTGGAGAACTTGCAAGAAAACAAGAGGGGCATAATTTTGAGAGTTCTTGCAATCAGCAGGCCTTAATACTTGGAACTTTAAAAATCAGTGGGCTCAACTCTGGGAGAGCCAGGTGGGCAACAGGAAACTTCAGTCCTTAAAGAAACCCCACCCTTACAGAAACAGCACAACAAACAGCCCCACTGAGATACAGCATGAAAACAGCAGTTTGAAAAACATACGGGGTATTCAGGAGGGAGATTTGTTTACTTACCTCAGAGCATGTGCTAGAGAGGGATCTTTGGGATACTTCTCCAGGAATAAAAGAGCTGGCAGGTGCCATTTCCCTACCCCACCCCCTCAGCCTAGACACATGGACACCTGTGGGAAACAGTACAGTGCCAACACTCATGACCTAACTTGCTAACACTTTGCCCCACCCCACATTCTCCTTCACACAGAGCCCTCCAAGCAGGCCTTAGCTCCAAGTCGTCTCCCACAGCAGACCTGCACAAACCTTGGTAACACCACATGAACTGCCCCTCCAATATCCCATTGGCAGGAACCCACCTAACGCACTTCCACAGGCCTGAGAGGGTACATGCAGCTACGACAGAGAGCAGCACCACTCCAAAGTGACTCCCACACACACCAGTCTACCTGCAGCCC